ATCTATCTATCTATCTATCTATCTATCTATCTGTCTATCTATCTATCTATCTATCTATCTATCTATGTGTGCGTCTGTGTGTGTTTGTGAGTGTTTGTTTATTTGTTTTTGTGAGTATGTGTTTGTCTCTGTGTGTGTAGGTATGCACGCTTTCGCTTTTTGAAACTTTCTGATACCCTTTTAATGCCATTTATTTGTAATCTCTGCTTTTATTTCAGGTGTGAGGGTGTTCCTGATAGAAATCTGCCTTGCGGAGGAGGAGGAGGTGGAAGAGGAGGAAAAGGAGGAGGAGATGCTTGGAGTGTGTACTCCTCCTCGGGCCCCTACGTTAATGATCTGCAGTCTATCATTGAGGCACGCTGGATAGAACCCAGCGTCCCAACCAGCCTAAAGGCCACGGTTTTCCTTCGCCAATTTGTTGACATTAGAGAAGGTACGGTCCTAACAACATGGTTTCCATGTGTGCGTATGAATCATGATTCTAGTGTGCGAGAAAGAAGGCTAATAGCTAAAAGAGAAAAATAGAGGAAAAATTCGGCAGGGAAACGATGCCTTTAGGCTAGGAAGCGAGATGTACGTTCGGCATTGCCTTGTGTGACAGGAAGTGCGTTGGCAGGCTATTCTCCCGCTATTGCCAAAAGTAACGCTTTCAAAATTTTTCGTCCCGAAAATTTAAATGTCAGCCGGCATTGAAATGATTATCTTCTTGTCTTTGTCTTTGCCTTTTTGCGTCTGTCTGTAATCCATTTGAACATTTTTTGATACAGTTTGAGGCATTAAGTTTACATAAAAATGCTATTTGTTCATCTTTCATTTTTCCAGTGCATTATATTATAATTTGCTTTGTCTTTTTTTTCTTTTCTTATTTTAAAAAAATCAAACAATTTAGCAGAGCAGGTAAGCCTGCACTCATTTTTTAGAAGGGATTTTTCCTTTTAAGAGTCGGAGCAGGTTTACGTAAAATGATTGTGAGGTCGGTGGGCGTTCTAGTGTGGTCTACTCCTTTGTCTTCTTATCACCGTTACTATCGTCGTAATCCTGTTCTGGGAGACATGTGGCCATTGTGGTGATGCCTTGTCGTAAACTACAACTCAACGGCTATAAGATGAGATACACGTTGTAGTAAAATGGATATTTTGTTGCAAAAGAATGGCATGAGTGTGATGATGGCAATGGTTATTCTTTAAACGGAGAGAATTCTTCCATGTAATACCGACATCTGCAGCAATTTTTGTTACTGGGACGAATAGATTGTATACATTATATATTTGTATAAAATATTGCTCTCCTTTCTTTCTTTCTCGCAATGTGCTCCAGCCTGCTGTTTCTATGGTTACCGCGTCCCCACTCGGCATTTCCGGTTGTTCTCGCCACGTTCCTGTTCCTCCGTTATTCTTACACAAGAAGCTTTTTATTTCTGGTTTTACCCTATAAACGTAACCTCTTTTTCCACATTTGCCCCCCTCACCTTTATGTCCATCACCCCA